GGAAAGGAAAGGAAAGGAAAGGAAAGGAAAGGAAAGGAAAGGAAAGGAAAGGAAAGGAAAGGAAAGGAAAGGAAAGGAAAGGAAAGGAAAGGAAATGGAGGGGTAGGCCAGGTAAGGCAGTGCAAAGCAACGGAGGGGTTGTTACCTGAACTATCCCGCTGCAGGATAAATGTTTAAAATAAACATTGGACCCTTAAGGGACGAGTCTGTCACCTTCTGTAAAACCCAAGGGGAGAACAAGGCTCAAAAGGCAGCTGTCCATGCTGCCGGCACCTGCTGCTGGAAGCTACGCCGCGGGGCGCGCTCCGGCGGACACGGGGTGGGCCGGGGCAGAGCCGCAGCCCGCGGTGCCGCGCCTGTCCCGGGGCCCACCCCCGCGAGTGCCGCCCGCGGCTCCCGCTCCATCACGCCCACAGCCCCCGCTGTCCCCGCGCCCCAATGACATAACACAGGTTTTCCACAGGGTTCTCGTGATTTGCGGAAAAAAACTCCACAGCTAGTAAGAGTCGCGAAGTAGGTATGTATCTTTATTCAGCGCCGGACGTATGCAGGAGAGCTCCTTAACGAACATGCGCGCCCTCCGAGAGGACAAACTCCCCCTTGTCCCCCAGCCTGTTGCATATGCATTAAGTTTCGCAATACATTCATGCATATTCATCGCGCTACAATTAGTTCTTATCAGTCTTTGTTCAGAGAGCTGTCTGGTTGTCCGTTCATCTCCTGCAGCCTCAGTCTTGGCTTACTTCTTGTTTCAAGGTCCAAGGGGCCCCTCTTATCTTCCTCTAGCTTGGAAGTTCACATTCCTTTCACCTTGTTTGAGGCAGTTTTGCGAGCTACAGGCTTTTTCTAACACAAAAAATTTAACAGACTAAACAAGTTGGTTAATTCAAAACCTAAATCTGAAATGGATTTCTAGCCCAAGTTAATTCCTCACCCAATGTCTAACTCGGCAGGTGATGAGGGATTTTTTAGAACTATTGAGAGTAATTTTAGGACTTCTTTATGAGTATAGTATTTTTTGGGTTTTTGAAGGAATTGTTAGGTTTTTCAAGAGTCTTATCAGGACATTTTAAGGATTTTTGGCTATTTTTAGAGCTTTTTTATGACCATTTAGGATATTTTTAGGGATTTTTTTTAATTTTTAGGGTTTTAAAAAGGATTTTTTTAAGAACTAGGGTATTTTTAGTGTATTTTAAGGGTCTTTTAAGGCAATATTGAGAATTTTGTTGGGGTTTTAGGACATTTTGAGGGTTAGAGTTTTTTAGGGGGCAGGGGTAGCTGGAGAGTGACAGAGAGAAGCTGGGGGCTGTGGGGCAAATGAGAGAGATTAAGGATGACACACAGGAGCTGAGGGGCAGCTGAGAGAGGGTTTGAAGGGCAGAGGTGGGGCTTGAGGGTGACACACAGAGCCTGTGGGCTGAGGGAGGGCTTGAGGGCTAGACAGTCCAATGGAGATAAGGGCTACTGGGTACAGCTAAGGAGGCAAATTAGAGTACACATGCACCACACCTCACCCCAGCCCGAACCTCGCCCTAACCATCCCGACTAACAATAGCCTACACAACCCTAACAACGAGACCACACCGATCTCCCTGTGAAAGAAAGATCACCACCCCAGGCTCCTGATGTCAGTTTGCAGGATCCGCTTGGAACTCTCAAGGAAGCACAAGTTTGAATTAGTGGGGAGGCTGGGTCTGGGACACATCCAGCACTGTCCAGAATTTTTGGAGGCGGCTGCCCACGCAGGGCCACAGGCCCCTGAACATGAACACTGGCCCTTTTCACTCTGAAACAAAACTCTCCAGCCCAGGTTCCTGATGTCGGTTTGCAGCAGGTGTTTGGTATTGCCTCAGCAACCAGAATTGCATTCTGCTGCAGCGTTGGTCTGTGAGATATATGGTGGCCCCTCCTACCCTCACCTCCTCCCCTCAGCCTGGTTTTGCTTTAAACAGTTTGAAAACCACAAGGAGGTCAGCCGAGAGCCTCCTGTGGCACCGGATTCTGTATTTGCTACTTTGCTGAAGGGAGCCTGGGAGAGAGGAAGCAGTACCTTCCTGGAAGATGGTGTTCAGACAAAGTGGAGAGACTTGGCTTCCTGGCTCCCACCTGAGCAGCTTTTGCTGGGAGTAAAGCACGTGCTGCTGTACCAGAAACCCACAGTGGAGAACTTCAGCAGATAATACTGTAGTTATCCTTGGTTTACTTTATGGCACAAGTTACAGATGACTTGGCTGCTAAAACTTAGGTTCCAGTGCTGTAGCTCTTTTTTCTCGACTTGGCTCCGAGAGTACGGAGCACCGTACAAAACTGCACCTAATTTGTAAACAAACGTCAGTTGTTCTGATTATTGAAGCCGGCCTTTATTCAGTTGAATTTTGAGTGTGTGCTGTGCCCAGGTCCTTTGTACAAATAGGGTACGGAGGGTGGGGGAACCAGAACTGCACATTCCTTGTGATATGGATGGGATTTTGGGGGGGGTTAAATAAAAAGGAGATGCAAAATGAGGGAATTGCTTTTAGATGTAACTATTCTTGTCCTAAAGGAGCAAGTGTGTGTTTGTTGAAAGAGCCGCAAGCCTTTAGGGGCTGCAGTTTGTGTGCCCTGGAATGAGGTGCCCTGAGGAAATGTGTGAGCCGGAGGGAGCCGAGGCCGGGCGGAGGGAGCCGAGGTGTGGGAATGGGCGAATGGAGGCGGGCGCGGGCGGGAATAGCCGAGCGTGGCCGAAAGCGGCCGAAAGGGGCCGAGGAGGCGAGCGGAGCCGAGCTTTGCTGAGTTCAGCCGAGGCGAGCCGAGCTTTGCCGAAGAGGCGAATGGAGGCGAATGCGGCCGGAAATAGCCGAGCGTGGCCGAAAGTAGCCGAAGCTGGGCGAGGAGCCGAGTCCAGCCGAACGGAGCCGAGCTCTGCCGAGCGCAGCAGCCCGGGCGGAGCGGGGCGGGGCGCCGGGGCGGAGCCGGGGCGCTGGGAGGATCCCCTCCTGTCCCTCTCTCTCCCGCTCCATCCTCCTGCCCGTATTCCCCTCAGTTACCTCTCTTTCCCCCGTTTCCGTGTCCCCCCCAAACCCGGCTCCTTCCTGTCCTGTCCCTGCCCCGCTGCTCCGTTCCATTCCCCCTCTCTCCCTCCTCTGTCCACCGTCCCTCTTGCTGCCCTGTCGGCCTTTCCCTTCCCCGCCCGCTTTCCTCCGCAGCCCGACCTCCCTCCCCGCCCTTTCGCATGTCCCGCTCTCCCTCCTCTCTTCCCGTCGCCCCTTCCCTTCTTTCCCCCGCAGCCGCGGGGCTCAGGGCGCCGGAGAATAAAGCCCCGAGGGCCGGAGCCCGGCGCCCCCCGGGCCTTGCGGGAGTCTCCGCACGGGGCCGGAGCTCTCGGCGGATCCCCCGCGCCGCTCGGACCCCGCCCCGCCGCTGCCGGACCTGCGGCTCCGCCGGCATCGTGCTGCGAGCGGCCCCCGCTCTGTGCCGTGCCGGCCGTGCCGCGTCCCCGCCGCCTCTGCCGCTCCCTCTTTCTGCCCCTGGCCCGCGACAGCGAGGCGGGGCGGGAGCTTCGAGCCTTCTGGGGGCTGTCCCCCCTTCCTTGTTGCGGCGGAGTCCCTTTCTGGGGGATGGAGGTGTGGGAAGGGCTGGAAGGGAGTGCTGGGCTGCTGTCCGGGGCAGTTGGACTCATCCTGTGCCTTCTTCGGGGGTCAGGAAAAGGGGCTGAAGACTCGAGGCTCTGATGTCATTTGGGGCACCCCAAAGTCGCTAGGAGAGGGACGCACACTGCGGTGCGGGAGCGGGTGGGTGACGAATGAGTGGAGGGAGTCACACTGGGTGCCGTCCCGCAGAGGGACCCAAAGCTGCCCCAAAATTCCCAAGGAGGGGTGTGTGTAGAATACTAAAACCTGGCAAGTGTTTCATTTTTATAGCTATTGGTAAAGAATAGGAATCTATGGCTAAACTCATTTGGAAAGAAGCCCTCTCTCGATCCACTCATTTGTACCCAGGAATGTAGGAAACTCTGACTGGGGACGGGCAGAAGTTCTGAAAATCATGCCCTAGCCTTTTTCCCCAGGAACGAACCAAGCGAGTGCCCTGAAACCAGCGAAGCAGCTGCAAGGGCTGAAGGGAACAGAAAGGGCTCCCGGCACCTTTTGCCTCCGTTCTCTGCCATTCTCCAAAAGGCGTCACAGTCCTGGAAGAGGTGTTTGTCATGCAGCCTGCCAAAATAAAGACCTGTAAAATCCTAGCTCTGCCTTTTGTTTAACGTGTTCTTACTTCCTATTTATGTCATCACAGAAAGCAAGGAANTTACTTCCTATTTATGTCATCACAGAAAGCAAGGAAAGAATAAATGTGTCTGGTTCCCACTATTGCTCCGTGCAGGCATTTTTAAAGGCTGCTGTACTTCTATCCTCTTTTTCCACTCCAAGCTTGACTTTTCCCCTCCTTTTTCGAGGTCTGCAGCTTTGGGTGTCCCAGGCAGGGCTGGGTTCCTCGGCAGGGGTCTTAGGAGTTGGTGCAGATTCTGATTTTTCTGAAGGTGTATCAAAGTGTGCCGACAAAAGGACTGCTTTCTCCAGGGGAAAGCTTTCTCTCAATGACCATCAATGCATGTATGTGTTTTAATCGTGTAACCATGTGGATTAAGAAAAGCTGACACCTGTAGCAGATTTTTGTTGGATCTGTGTCTGTGAGAAGTGGGCTGTGTGCTGGAGACGGAGAGACCAAGAGACGCTGTTGGAGAGTGGCAATAGTGGCAGGTGTGAGCTGTTAAGTTGATGAGTGCTCAGAGCAGGCACAGGTGTGAGCTGTTAAGTTGATGAGGGCTCAGAGCAGGCACAGGTGTGAGCTGTTAGCATGATGAGAGCTCAGAGCAGCCACAGGTGCGAGCTGTTAAGTTGATGAGGAGGAGGGGCGGGTCCCTGTGGGGGAGGTTATTGAAGGGCGAGGGTTTGCCTCAGCCAAATTTTGCACGGAGCTGCTGGAGAAGAAGAGTTTATGGGGGGCTCCCGGGGCTGTCTCATGGAAGGACGGTGAGTACTTTGGACAGGGTTTGGGGGATCACCAGGGCACATCCTTTTGCCGTTTTCCCTGGGAAAGAAAACTGAGCAGTCCAGGTTCCTGATGTCAGTTTGTAGGGCTCCCTTGGGTCTATCAGGGCAGCACAAGTTTGAGGTGGGAACAACTTCGGT